AGAAGATTTTTGAAATTTTAGTCAATTTGACCCTTTTTGGCCCCACCACTCAGGCCCCTGGGGGCTTAGGACTAAACCGGCAACTATTTTTGTTGACCTTTGTCCATGGAAGGTCCCTGCAAAATTTCATTGAAATTGGTTCAGGGGTTTTGGAGAAGATTTTTGAAATTTTAGTCAATTTGACCCTTTTTGGCCCCACCACTCAGGCCCCTGGGGGCTTAGGACTAAACCGGCAACTTTTTTTGTTGACCTTTGTCCATGGAAGGTCCCTGCAAAATTTCATTGAAATTGGTTCAGGGGTTTTGGAGAAGAAGTCGAAAATGTAAATTGTTTACGGACACACGACGGACGACGACGGACAAAAGGTGATCGCAATAGGTCACTTGAGACTTTGTCTCAGGTGACCTAAAAACTATTCAAATAAATAATTTTGCTATTGAGAGTTATACCTTCTCCCCTAGGGAGAGCCGATAGCCTGGGGGATAATAAAATATACAATGAAGGTAATGGTAACTTAGGTAAACACTTTTCTATCCATGAACAATAAAACATCTTAGAATGATGAAGAAGATTTTGTGATTTTAACCATAATCCCCATTTTGCCCCCCTACAGCCCCTAGGGATGGGTCAGGATCTTATTTTTTCATACCATCTAATTGCCATCTGGCATCAAAATCATTTTAACAAAGTTTGAATAATTTCCTGCTGAAAATTGCCAAAATATACTCAAAAGTAATAGTTTCCTATATAAACTATAGTAAATTTTACCCCCTCCCCGAAGGAGAATGAATGGTGCGGGGGTCCTGAAATTAACAATTCAAACCCCCCCCCCCCCTCCCCTGATGATCTTTTCATACATGCAGAGAAAATCACTGTAGTACCTCTGAGTCTGGAGAAGAAGTTTTTGAAATATTGGTTAATTTTCCCTTTGGGGCACCGCCCTGGCCCCTGGGGTTGGGGCAGGAATCCCAATTTTACAATTTGATACAGTTTTCCCCCAAAGATGATTCTCACTAAGCAAGATTAATTTCCTACAGTAAATTGACAAAATAAACCCAAAAGTGTTATTTCCCTATACAATGTATAAACTATAGTAAACTTTACCCTATTCCCAAGGGAGAATTAAAGGATAGCCTATGGGAAATGAATTTTACAAGTTATACAAAACCCCGATGATCTTTCATCCAAGCACAGAACTAGATTGTAGTACCTCTGAGTCTAGAGAAGAAGATTTTTGAAATATTGCTTAATTTTTGGGGCCCAGCCCTGGCCCCTGGGGTTGGGGCAGGCAACCCAATTTTACATTTTGATACCCTCTTCCACAAAGGATGGGGGTCCCTACCGTGTTTTGTGGAAACCCATTGATTGGTTCTTGAGAAGAAGCCAAAAATGTAAAACGTT